ACCCTGGGGCTAACTGACAGACGCAAGGCTGCCGTACACTGGCGCCACCGGGCCCTCTCATCAGCAGGCAATGCAGGTGAAGTGCCTTGCCCAAAAACACAATGACACTGAATGCCGGAACCGGGGCTTGAATCATCAACCCTTCAATTTCAGGGCAAACTCCTATAACTGAAGCCAAAGTCGCCCCAACTGCTACTGAACTATTGAAGGAATTATCTGTATACCTTGCAACTGCAGTATAGAAAATATGCATGCCTAAGGTCACATTCACTTTTACTTATATATAGCACACTTAAATGCAAAACTGACAGGCGTGACTCAGCATGCCAAAATACATGCCCACTATAATGTGTGTATTTATAGCAGGGACAATAATGACACAGAAAACTGTGATTAAAAGGAAAGGCATTGATTAAAAACAGTTAATGCATAATAACACGGGAGTACAAAAGGTCAATGCCAATGAGGAGGGAAGAAAGACGCCACAAAGCGGTAAGAACATAGATAAGAATAGATTTTAAAAGTTAAAACAAACAAAATAAGTAGGAGTAAATTGACAGCTGCGCTCTGGACTCAGTAAAGAAAGTGGCTGAGAGGAGGGTGCTGTCCAAGCTTGCATCCATCATGGACGATACCTTCCACCCTTTACACCAGACTGTAGAGGAGCTGAGCAGCTTCTTTAGACTTAGACTTAGAAAGATTTTATTTGTCATTTTGTTTACACAAGTGTAAAACAAAAGAAAATTTTGTTTGGAACAGCTCTCTGGACAATTTCATCATATTTTAAAGTGCAGCTTGGTTCCAGGTACTCAGAGATTCACTTCCATACAGAAAGCCCATATCCTTATCTTCAGGTAACACAGAGTACATGTCAGATTAAATAATACTACTTCAGGGATAGTATGTACCATTTCTCGTACCATGTCTGTTGGTTGTGCTGTTCTTTTTACATCTCTTTGCAGGTGATGAAGCAGACTGAAAATGTTTTATCATTATCTCCCTCCTGTCTCCTCTTTTTATCTTTTTTTCTGTTTTTCCTCCTCTGTCTAATTACATTACAGTGTCCATATGATATGCATGAAACAAGCTGAACACTATGGCAATAGCCCTACTGCTCCACTTGTGAAAGTAAAATCTGTTGGGCTCTTTTTGGCTTTAAGACAGTTATTCTTAAAAGTGCAGCCTTGAAAAATAGTAAAAAAAAAAAAATATATATATATATATATATATATATATATATATATATATATATATATATATATATATATATATATATATATAAACATTAATATAAACATATAACTGTAAATTTACAGTTACTTTAGTGAAAGACTTTTACACCCTGTTTGTAAAAAGTACTATTTAATACCCTGTGCAATAACCCTGTATTATAATCCTTCAAGGAAAAAATTGAAAAAAAAAACATTGAAAAAAGCTGTGAACAATATGCATGTACTGTTTACTGTATATATCCCATGCAACTTTTTCTTCCTTTGGCAACTTCTTCTTCTCTTTTTGACTATTTAGGTCAATCAATCAATCAATCAAATGCCACACAGCAAGAGTAGAATAACCCTGAGTAAACAAAAAAGTCTTTAGTGCTGACTAGAAGGTAGCAACAGACTCAGCATATCTGATTGTCATTCCATAGGCAGGAGCCTCTGCCCCCCGCTGAAGTGCATTTTAACCATTGGGATCACTATGAGACCCGAGAGGAAAATGTTAGAGCCCTGGACTACTGCATCTTGAGTTATTTTAAGTTGAGGAGAGTGCATTGTCAAAAAACCTTAACAAATTAACACAGATATAAATCCTCACTAGCATCTGCACGATGACGACATCAGCATAGCACTCATACAAAATAAAGTGACTACATCGCTGTAACTGTATAGTTGTGTATGATACTAATGAAAACAAAATCACGGAGGAGAATGCTGAATCAGCATCATTCACCTGATACAGTAATCTGTGTCAGAGCCAATATCTGATATTGGATTCTGCTCTCTACTAATGGAGAATATACATTTTATGCTATATTTGTCTTAATAATTTTATGAATGTTAAAGAAGGTGATGTGCTCATTCATTCCACTAATTAGGAGATGGATCTTTGTTTTTTTTGGCCATTGACTCTGTTTAAGACTCTCTTAGATTCAGTAGAAGCACTTTTCAGCTGCTTTTTTATTGACTTTTTTAGGTTTTATATATAAGATTGACTTTATTATTATAATAGTGAAATAAAAATATGTTTATATTTATGCATTTAGCAGACACTCTTATCCAAAGCAACTTACAAAGTAGACACAATGTTACAGTTATCAATATTCTAATGTTCTTGGTTCTGTTGGTTTTCTCTAAGTTTTCAGTTTCACCTTTTTTCATGTTTTTCTTTGTTTTCTAGCTTAATTGATGTGTTCTGGATTTATTTAAGTTTCTTAGGTTTTTCTTTGTTTGTCCTCTGTTGCCCCCTTGTGTTTTCTTTTCCTTTTGCTTCCTCATCAGCTCTACTCACACCTGATCCTTATCAGCTGGTTAGTCCTGCCTTTGTTCAGTCAGCCATAAATACACTCCCTGTGCAGCTGGTTCCTCCTCTTAATTTGTCTTACACTGCCTCCTTGTGATTGTTTTCCCCTGATGCCTCCATGTTTCTGGTTTGTGTTTAATTTTTTATGTTGGATTTTAGGATACCTGTTTTGTTTAACATTTTTAAGTTGGATTTTTGGATTCCTGTTTTTGCTACCTGTGTTATCCCATTAAATCTGCAAGAACTCTCCTCCCTGCCTCTGCATTTGAGTCCTCACACAAACCTCCTGCACAATCGTGACAGTGACACAATATGACAAGAAGTTCTCTAAATGCCTCCTTAGAATCAGTGATGACAGCAAAGAGATAGAGAGAAGTACAGAAAGAGCAGTAAAGGGGTACCGAGCTATGGGTAAGAAATAGGATAGGAGATGCTCTTTATTAACATTTTTAATGATTTTTTTGGCAGTTGTTGTACATTAATTGTACAGATATAAGTTAACTCTGACCATGGGTGAGCTGAGAAAAAATATATTTAAAAAAAAGGTTAACAGTTTTAATGCTTAGGGATTTACTTTCAGCTGGTAGGCAATGCAAATAAAGAGATGAGGTAATGAGAGAATTCAGGGTGTAACTATGATGAAAGTTGGTGGGGACACTATTTAAGGGTGGTGGCTGATGGACCTACGGTAACGTGATTTGAACACTTAAATTAGGTTGTTGTATTTTCCAAAAATGAGCCCAAATATATATTAATTTAATGCTTTCCTTTTGTCAGAATGCAAAAGAACCAAAATACACTGATATTTATAATTAAAGATAGTTAGACAGATATCTTTTAGTCCTTTGTTCTGCTGACAAACATCAGCCACATTAACAGAAAAGTCTGGTCATATTCAGAATTCAAACTTCTGAAAATACTTTAAATGTGAAATTATTACATACTATTCAATAAATTATGAAGTTTTTTATTATGAGTCATTTTCATTTGAATGTGCTTTACCAGAGACATCCATGTTTGTCAAAGAACACTACTGCCACCTACTGGTTTGCGACGTCACAGTGCGATATCGGCTGTTGATCAAGTCCCAGTGCTGTATTATTCAGGCCACGTCGGACAGAATGTAGTAGTTGTGATTACGTTCTATAAAACCCATTTTAATAAAAAGTTTTACTCCCTTAAAACTATTTTTTGTCAAGAAACGAACCCCATGACTACACAGGTCAGCATGTCTGCAGCTATGCAGATGATGTCTTAAAATTATGAGACCAAAGTCCCAGTGCTGGGTCTGGTGTTTGTCACAACGCACTATTATCCAATTCATCTTGAAATCATTCTTCTTCGAAATGTTGGCTACATATAAGGTTTTTTTCCTCTGGCCAGAAGTTTGATGGCAAATCCTCCCTCTTCAAATTGGCAATCCAACGACAAACTTTTGGATCATGAATTGGAAAGATGAAATAACACATTTTTTTTCACTTTTATCCGATGTATTACAAAATCCAACTGCCATGCATGTAGGTATTGTCAGTTTGATTGTAGCTCTCGCGAATTCCATTGGTGAAGTCCTCTCGTAATAATTGTTGATTGTAAGGGTGTCTAGTAGCTCCCATTGATTTTGCTTGTAAAGTGGCAAAAATGGCTACTCCCAGACTCAGTGATTGTGACAAAAATTGTTGTTTTTATTTTTTTACTGATTAACGCTAAAGTCATTAAATCAGCAAGAACATATTCGTTTTAGCTATAGATAATGATCCATTGAGTATTCCTTGCTGACCGGACTTCTCCTTTATATAGAATAAACTAATAGCAACTTGGGTCCCCAAATGTATATATATATATAGATATATATATTTATGGTTTCCAGATCACTCAAGAGAGGAACAAAAATCTAAATGATCTATTTTTACTTTTTACAGGATAATTTAGTGATCCAATCAGATTTTTCAGGTTCTTAATAGGTTGTCAACAGCTTTAACCCAACAATGCTGTACTTTTTAAGAATACATTGCACCTTGTTTTTTAATCTTTATATTACATCGAAGCAAACAGAGTATTACAGTAACAGTAAACTTTGAAAATGTTTTAATTAAAATGTCAGATAAAAACAATAAGTTAAACATAAGTAAGTTCAACATAAATCCTTAACACTAATATTTCCTTCATTAATGGGAGAAATAGCTTAATTTTTTAATTCATATTAAAAATAAATATTAATTACTTATTTTAAGTCAGAGTTTGGAAATCACATTAAACAGAAACATTAAAAAGGATAACATATAAAATGACATTTTTGTAGGAAATATTTTTTACAACTGATAATTATAAACAATTCACTAGATTAAGTAAAATACTTCACATGGAGGTTACAGTATCTTCATGTAATTTGCTCCAGTTGGAGATACATTTAAAACCCTCTGTTAAAAAGGTGATACATCAAAGTGCTAAAAGTCTTTCGGTCCAGAAACAGTTCTTCTTCAAACAAATTCCTCCAGAAAATCATCTCCATAGTCCAACTGTGATACTTCTGTGTCATCATCCCGTTCATCATCTGTTTCATCCTCTTGGTCTTCTGCGATGCTGCTTTGATGAGCACTGGATGCCGAGGCTGAGCTTGAACTCACAATGGATTTAGATTTCTTCTGGAAAGAAAACGTAAGAATATTAGTTAATAAAGATGCTGCACCACTTTAAAAAAGCATTAAGCATTCTAATATTACTCTCTTAATAAATCAACAGCTCATGGTACTTACTGCATGGTAATGTGTAACATAACAAATGCCACACTTTTTTAAACATTTTTTTCCAGAGATTTCAGTAATAACTTAACAATTAAAAATGTTTGCTATTTATTAATGTCAAATGGGAATCTCATTGGTGGTAGTGAAAAGCTTTTTTACATCATTTGTATTTTTAATATGCAAAAATATTATTTTTTTTCCTTTGGTTAAATAAAGAAGGCTTTGCCAATGGGATTTGCTATTTTTCAAATTTTTTAACTCATTCAAAAGAAGACCAGATCCTCATAATAATAATAATAATGATAAATAAAATAAAATAAAAAAGTGAAAAACATTCTATGTATAATTCAAAGGAACCACCAGGGGGCAGAGTTGGTTTCCCCCATATTCCAGGTGAAAATCCTTCCTGAGTATACGTAAGCTCAAAAAGGCCCAAAAATTCTGAAATCTTCAAATTATGTGCAAAATTTGCATAACTTCACTTTTTAGCTCTCTCAGATGAGCTTATTAGTAGTCAGCCTATAGAAGTTAGGGCAGTCCAGTAGAGGGAGACAGACACAGTTAAAAGTGGTTCAGCAGGTTGTATCATGGCCTATGTATTATTTTTTTGCACTGATAAAGTGTCTGTCTGTATATGATAAGCTGGGAAGCCAAATTATAATTTTTTTAATTCAATTTAAAAGAAAAATATGCACGTTAGAAGCTTTACTACACTAAGGTTTGGGATGCACTAGTTTTATCTTTTATTTAAGAAAAATGACACTTTTTCACTTAAATAAAGCAGCATTCAAGTGCACAATTAAATCTTTTTTCAACATTATGTCATGAAATAGTAAAGCAAAATTCTGCATATAGAATGATAATTACCTGTTTTTTGTGTTTTTTGTGTGCATATTTCTGTTGTTTTGGTTCAGTTTCCAAAAATGCGACATAGTGAATAAGGGTGACGACTCTGACAGGGCAAAAGAACAAAAGTTAGATTTTATTTTCTTGTTTTAATTGAAATCTAGTTTCTAAACTATAGGATAAAAAAAATTGTATTTATTCCGTGATCACCTGTGGTAAAACATCCCAAGAAACTGGAGCAGGACTGACAGAGCAAAGCCCAGGATGAACATGAGACTCATCGGTTCAACTTGGAATTTCCCTCCAGTTTCCACAAGGTTGAAGTCCACAATATTTATCTCGATAACAAAGGCATCAAAAACTTGAAAGAGGAATGCTGCCACCACCCACAGAGCGTTCAAGAAGAAGAACGAAAAATTGATCTGTGTTGGGAGAAGAAAAAAAGTGAGTCTGGATAGTCTGAAATATTTTCTGTCTTGTTATTCAAATTTAAAACATTCCAGTTTCCCTTTTTACCTTGTTTCTCAGCTCCTGCAAGTCAGTTTTAGTCCTTTCCTGTGTTTCTTTATCAATTTTCAAAGGTTTCAGATACTTTTCAATAAGTTCCTTCCAAAACTGCTGCTCATCCTGAAAGAATAAAATCACTCCATGGTTAAAGTTAGCAATAGGTTATGTATGAAGCTTTCAAATAGCTAAACATTTTTCACTTCAGGACATTGTTTTGCTGATTAAATATAGAAACACCCACCCCAAATAAATTAATTCTATTACTCTTTATATTTTGAAATAATGAGATTTTTTTCGGAGAATTGTCAAATGTTTGAAAACACTGTAAAAACAATTACCAACATAGTGGAAAAAGACTAAATTTTGTCTTTATATTACAGCTGTGTGATTTAACTGCAGTGTGATTCAATGAATATGCTCTTATAATACTTTCAGGTTACTTCTGAATTAAGGTTAAAAAAATAATGATATAATCATAAGTGGTCAGTTAAATGGTTTTTAACCTAAAACCATTTGCCTTAATAAGAATCATAATTACTTTATTAATCCCAGGCGGGACATTATGTGTTTGGATATATAAATAAGCAATGAACAAAGGTGCCTCTTTGCATAGATTAAAGGTATAGAGGATGATCTTTTATTTCTGGGTGGATCATCAAAATAAATGTTCCTCCTAATTGTCAGTCATTTTAGTGATTGTTGACATAAGGCCGAATTATGTGCTCGTCCAGTTAGCTTTATTTTCCTTGGCACTTTCAGGCATATATCTATGGTGAGCTCCGGTTTCAGACACTCATTGAAGCTCACCTTTCTCACAGCGCTTCTTTGAAAATGGCCAAAGGTCGTAAGAGAAAAAGTGTCTATGAAGTGTATGAGAAGAAAAGAAAGGCCTCAGAAGATGCTAATATATCCCGGAATGCTTTGCGCGGAGAACCCTTCTCACAAAGCATTATGGGATTTACTGTCACAGCGGCCGACTGTTGCCGCGATTAATTTAACAAAGATGGCGCGGACACCACGCTGTGGAGGAGGAGTAACGTGACTAACGGAGCAAAAACCAGTGATCATCTGTCCGAACGGTCAGTTAACTGAGTTTGCTATGCAGTCCACTATATAGTCCCCGCTCTATATGTTGTAGTAATTAAGGGATTTACGGGTTAAGGCGGAGGTTTGGGCACAGTATGAGAACTTTTAAACAGAGCGTGCATGACGAGAAATGGGCTTGTGGAGAGCACACAAGTCTTTTAAAAAATTCACGAAAATCCTCCACAGTACCTGTAAGTATAACTGAATTCAATAATTATAACTGAATTTAATAATTCAATAATAATAATTGACCCAAAGTGTTTATAAAAGTTTTGCTATCACCTTGTTTGAGAATAAATGCTTTATTTTCTAAGCAAAAAGATCCCCTCACCTCATCAAGAGAACCCTCCTGCAGCTGAATGTCCCTAGACAAGCTCATTAGTTGTGTTTTCCAACCTGTACAAAAGAACAGGAAATTAAAATATTACTCACAAAAGTATTTTATCATGTGTTTCGGGAAAAAAAAAATAACTTAAAGTACACTGCTATTATAGTACTCTAAAAAAATTTTAGTTTCAGCACTTACTTTGAACTGGAGTTTCACAAACTGCTGCCTCTTGCCTGAAAGAGAATTTTAAAACATTAGCACCATCCATTGATTTTCACAAATACTTTTTCAACTGTTTATCATATATTTAAAAACCTACACTTGCTCATTTTCCAAGACATCATCTATAATAGTGTTCTGGGGTTGAGGTTCTAGTTGTGTCCCCACTGGGTCCAAATTCTGTCTTATGCTGATCTCTTCAACTTCTGATCCCTGGTTGGGTTTTTTGCAACATTTCATCCATGAGCAGAGCTTCTTGAAGGTGTTTTTGGCTACAAAAAACAAAAAAAGATAACAGTAATTTTTTTGTTAGGCAACTTAAAGACCAACTCTAGTCTTAGAGTGCTTTTTGATTGTTATACATCTACCTTTTTCTGATTGTGTTTGTTGGACATTGGTTCCAGGTGTTCCTGCCCCTGCAGCAGGTTTTGCTTCTCTAGTGCCCCAAGAGACACAGTTCATATTCACCATAGAGTAGATGGTGAGCAGGAGGTAGGCACTGGGGATGCAGATGATGTAGAGAAAGCCATAGAACACCAGAGGGAGTTCCTGAGGGTGCATCAGTGCAGTCACAATGTAAATGATGGACATGGCCACAATAAAAATACTGCTGGGTGTCAGAATGGTTTTTTCCTTCACCATTGCACCTGTTAGAAAAAAAAAGAAAAGAAAATTACAAAAAGGTTTATGGTTAAATTAGCCAAAACTAAATAAAGTTTTTGGATGTAAATTTGTATTTACCGATAATGGACATGGTCACCACCAACATAAGGATTGCATAAAAGATACTCATCACGGCTGCAATAGTGATCTGAGTGTCTGTCTTGAGTTTAAAGCAAAGACCCAAGTAGATGGCTGGAGGTATCACAGATATGACCAGAGCAATGCCAGTATTTATCTCCAGGAGGAACGACAGGCTTCCTGGACACAGTAGAAATGTGACATTTTAAGGTATTTTCACCAGCTATTTAAATGTTCATAGTATACAGTTGTTTTACACGTGAACACTCAAAACACTTAGACAATGACATTTACCTGCAACCATGAGAACAATGGTGGCCGGAGCAAGGATGGCAGAAATCATGGCAAACAGCTGGTAGAACATGAACGGTTTGGACATGGATCGGTTCTTTTTGGAAACAAGATTGGTGGAACCGAGCAGATCCACAACATTTGCCATGGTGGAAGGCCCCCATCGTCTTCGCTATTTTCAAAAACAAAAGACATTTTTAGCTATAATCTCTCTTTTCTTTCAATCTGCAAACATTTCCCCTTTCATGTTAGACTACCTAACCAGTTAAATTGCTCGTAACAATATAATACAGCCAGAGTGTAAAATGAGAACATTTCACACAGGTTAGGACTTAGGACTTGCAAACTAAAGAAGTTTCTGGCATCTGTGGTGACTAAATTATCTCATTCTGCATTACAGCCTTCCTGTTAAGAGATAATCAGAATAGCCTAGTGCAATGCTTTTCCTTCACTACAAGAATTCCTATGGTTATCATCCAAATCAACATAGTTGATGCAGTTGAGCTGGAAAGTCCCTGGGCAGTTTTGAACTAACCTGATTGTACAGTTCTTTGAAATCCTGCGGTGCATTGGTGTAGGCGTCCGATGCTGCATTGTATTCCACTCTCCACCCTTGTTTCAGTAGCAGAGTGCACAGCCAACGGTCTTCACCTGCAAAAACAATATATATTTTTAGATTTTGGCATAGGAAAGAGTTTAAAAGTTAACACAAAAGTGGACAATTCCCTATATCCAGTATTCCATCCCATGCAAAGCAGTGAAACACACATGCATACAAGCAGAGACCATATAAACTTCACAGTGTGTTAATGTGCTCTGCCATCAAGTAATTACATTTCTCTTTTGTAAAATGATCTATTTAAATTAGAGGACATTATATGACAAAATGTTACACCCAGATTTTAGTAGAGTTTAATTTTTGTACCTTGGTCGTACTGGATGTAATGGCTGGGCTCTGTGGATGTGGTTGAATATTTTTTCATCACATTATCATCCATCAAAGCCTCTCCTCTGAACAGACTGAAACATCCGGGGCTGCACAGCACACAGCCGAAGACATGTTCTGCTGTCTTCTGCAGCCAGTGACTGACAGCATATTCAAACTTCTGGAACCAAACAGCAGGACCTGCAGATTAAAGACACAGATGGTTGACAACCTCACCATAACTCTTTTTTTTTTTTTACAGTGCATCATTAGCCCTGATCTCATTGGTCCCGACCTGATCCGGTAGGGTGAATTCTGCCACATGCTGCTCCGACACGAGGATACATTTTCAGGCGATCGATAAGCAGCATCACAGACGCAGGCTGGAAGTCTGTGTCCCCATCTAAAGCCAAGAGGTAGGTGTTGTGCTTCTCTGTCTGGAATGAAAATCCAGTGTTTAGATTTTTTTACTTTGCAGTTTTTAACAGTCCTCTAAAAATAACATTATTATGCATATAATGCCTCAAAGCATCTCAGAGAATACCAGGAAAATTTGTCTATCTCACCTCAAGTTTTTGTATGAGCTCATTTTCCTTGCCTCCCTTCTTCCATTCTTTGTGATAGTTGGTCATGAGTTTCCAACCCAGAAGATAGTAAAGATACATAACCTGTAGAAAATCAATAGCAGGTAAGAAACTGCAGGCTCTTAATTGAAGTTTTCCTTAAAATCCATGTACTATTGCCTACCTGAGACCATCTCTTCTTATTTCGAATTTTTTCTTTGTCTTTAAAGTGAACTATAATCTCATTCCCATGAGGCATTTTAACAACAAGTCGTGCCCCATATGGCGTCTCAATGATGAACAAATCAGGAATTGTCTGCTGTATATCAAATAATGTCTTATCAAGGTTCGTGAAAATGCTGATGATAGAAAAAAAAAACAAAAAAACATATGGATTATTTGCATAACCCTCAAAACATCCACTGTGAGTCAACTATTGCTCATTATGACATCTATGTAGTTAAAATGCATTATGCCGCTTTGATATTATTAGGAGACTTTGTGTGCTTGTTATTTAGATTTCTGGTGCCACTCAAGAAGCGCACTGCACCTATCTACATTTTGGAGCTGTGTTCACTGATATTATGTGAACATATTAAAAACAAAAAAACAACAAACGATATCGGATACAAATAAACATTAATTAAGTCATGAAAACATGTGGTCTTTGTCCAATGCCTGATCAGTTCTCTGCTCAGCTAATCATTCTTAACAGTTGGAAGAGTACTTTACTCCTTCAAACCCCAAATTAAGTTGTTTTTTTTGCCCATAAACTGTACAAACTGGACCTTAAGGGTGCCATCTTTATGTTGTTAAGCAAATTTAGACTTTTCTGTGTAAATTATTTTAATTCTGTAATATATGGTTCTAAATATCAGGTTTAGTTACGTGATAAATAATTAACTTTCAGTAAGGAACCATGGTTATATTTTAAATCTAATTACACAATAACACAAAATGTGGTGGAAATAAGAGAAATCATATTAGGTCAGCATTAAACAAATTACTTACCCATAAACCTCTGTGATGATCTTCACGAGGTCGTTTGCGTAGCTGTTCAGCTGACGGTTTTGATTTCCTTCAACAGTTTCAAAGGCATCGTCGAAGTAGATATGGGCTTCAAAGGTGAAATCGTTGAACTTTGGTTCTTCTTCCTTTGGTCTGTATTTGTCCAGTCTTTATTTGTAAATAAATAATGGATTTAGTGAACGAACAATAAGAATTAGGACATTAAAAAAAAAAAATTATATATTTTATAGACTTCTCCCTGCAAAGTTTATTTAAAACAGCTTTCTAGCTTTAGGAGATGTCTGTTATATTACGTAATATAAAATCTTAGTTATAAAGTAAGTATTTGTTTAAAAGAAATGGGCTTTAGATATGAAAGAAATGGCTTTAACTCACCTGAAAATTGAAATCATGATGTTCATTATCTCCTCATAGGTCTCATGCCACATTGTTGCACAGAGATACACCTTAGCAATGTCGCCATCCTCCTTATACCTTGAAATAAAGATATTTGTAAAATCAAAAACATGCTTCTTTTGTAAATGTAATTACCAAAAAATCTAAAAGTAAAACTGAAATCACGACTTGAAAAACAGATAATAAGGTTGTGCAATAGAGCACACATTTACTCACTCTTTCTTCATGCCTTTTTTTGTCTGGATGTGGAATTTGGTGTTGAGGAGTAAAGATTGTTCAATAAAGGCTCCCTCATAGAGCCGCCGAACGAACAAGTCTTGTGTCTTCTGGATACGACTGACATTAAGGTACCATATATGGATAGTGGCCATCACAAGGCCAATCCACCATCCAACTGCTGCACCTAATGTGGAAAAAAGGAAAAAAAAAATGATAATTAGAGAAACAAAGACTTAAATAATAAAACTGCCAAAACAAATGACAACATTGTAATGGCAATGCGTCGGCATTTAACTAGCGTAACCAGTGAGGGACTATGAAGATTTTTTTATTTTCTTACCTGTCAGTAAGCCGATGTCAACCATCTCTGACATGTCCAGGAAACACAGAGTTTGCGTAACGTCCAAAACCAGCTCTGGGTACAGGTTACCAATCAGACTTAGATTTCTTCCATTCACAGCTACGTCACAGTAACTTGTGAAGTTGATGTTTTCAGTTGTGTTCAGGCTTAATTTATAGTCCTCAAAGTAAACAATCACAGGGACGATGTAGAACACCATCACAGCCAGTGAAGCCAGGTACAAAGGTATGATGAAGCATCTCCGTATAGCGTGCATCTTGAAGGCTGCCAAAGCAAACCAGTAGCAGAGTGCTGAGGAGATTAGCTGGATTCCAATGGTGATGACTACAATTCTTGTTTCCCGGCTTGGAATGGAGGTTACAATGTCCCAGTCCATGTTGGCCAGAGGGACATAAGCACCAAGCACACAGGCAGTCACCACAATTCTGAGTAAGCTGGAGAGGATGTGCAGCATGTTCTGACTCTTGGTCAGGTCCTCAAAAAGACTTTTAAGGAACTTTGATTTTCTGTTCACACAGATTAGCATAAAGTAGTTCTCCCACCAGTTAAAAGACACAAAGAAGCAGCCACCAACAGCAAGGCCCACCCAAGTTGCTGTCTGCACATCTGTAAGATCTTTCAGAATGTACAGGACAAGGAAAATACAGAAAGCAGTGAGTATAGCCAAGACGCCGAGAATTGAGGGAAGCAGGGAGACATTTATCTTTTTTGCAGTACACTGAGCAACCGCTTGCAGGAATGTAGGGAGGACAGCCACACCATTAAGAATCGTCACATTGGTGACAATGTCCAAGTGTGGCATTGCAACGATGGTAAGAATGGCCAACCCCACAGAAACTAGAAGCTCGAAGAACAAAACCTGAGTAACAAAGAAAAAGGACAGGTTATAAAAAATTCACAGAAACAAGATATAAACCACGTCATTTTGTGTTTAAAAGATTTGTGAGAGACAAGACACTGTTAAGAAATATTAGATATAGTCTTACCAGGGCTACAGAGGCTTTCTTTGGCACCTTTGATGATTTATAACATGCTTTCCAGACGCTTTTGAGGAGCAGAAGAACACTAGGTGCAATAAGAGCGCAACCAATACACAACAATGTGACAGGTTTCAGATCTGGTGAGATAATCTTTGTATCTTCATGGGATAAAGTGATGAGGAGAAGGAAAGAAACCTGGAAAATAGAAGGTGGAGATTCATTTTTTAGCTGCTTGTAATACAAGCCAAAGCCATTTGAATGTCAGTTACTACTGATTTATATTTACTCTTTTAAATCAAAAAGCTTTGGATTCTATCTAAGGAAAAAAAAAAAGGAAAAGTATTACACAAATAAAGGTATAATAAGTAACTAACCTTGCTGCATATCGCCAATCCAAACACCATAATAGCCACTGTACACAAAGTGATGATCTTTAGCAGCTTAAGCATCTTCCAAGGTGTGTGCTCATCTTCAATTATTGGAACCTCCCGACAGGTGTCCCATGGCCTCCTGCAATAGATGCTTTTTGTTAAATTTGGACATGGGATTGAGGCTGAAACAATTTTTATACCAAGACACACATTTTCCTGATAACCTAAGTAGTAACATTAGTATTCCTCTTAAGACTTTAGTAAGTTCAAAAAGTATTCTTGCTATGTTGAAGAGTCACACAAACTAAATGAATGAAAACTGTTTTAGTAGATTTGGCTGAACATAAAAAGTCACTCAAGTTATTAAAAATAAGCCAAGTATTTATCAGCAAACAGTTTAATAAAAGGCCCATATTGATTTAAATGGTATCTGTCTTTTTATCAATTAAATAATCATATAAAAACGTTTATGTTTGTATTGCAGGTTTTCTTAGTCTTATATGAAATCTAAAGATTCTAAGTTTGACAAAAAGAGAATAAATCTGCATGAAGGCACATACTTTTTCGCTAAACTAATACAAGAATGATGGATTTTAGGAAAGTGACAGTAACAGTAACAATTATGTAATGAATTACTCACTTTAAATCTCCATTTAAGTCAACCTCCTCCATGATTTCAGAATCTGTGCGGCTCGTAGATTGTTCCATCCTCAAAGCAGGATGCTGCCTGATCGCACCGCTGTTTGCTTCTGCTGTCTTCATTCATCACAGATGATTTTAAAGTGGTTAAGCCCCGCCCACAATACCTGTTACAGGTTAAGCAAGTTCAGATGAGTTAACTTAAAAGCAATGACCTGCATGCAGGATTACAAGAAAAAGCTAATTGGAAACAAATCAGTTTTTTAGCATGCCTATCGCTGGTGTCTCAATAGCACTTTAAACTTTATCAGTATAGATGAAACACCATTGATTTTCCTGCCTTCACAAACTGTGACATTTTCCTCTCTTTCTAATCTATTACACCTGCTTAAAGTGACATTTATGTAATGCTCCACTCCTGTTTTGAAACAATAAGTGTGTTCCGTATAACGTAACTAAAAATGATAAAGTTCTGGAATATGATATTTTTTTTTTTAGTTGTTTTTTTTTCTGTTTTCCCAAGTTGGTTATGAAGAAATTTTGAAATGAGTTTAAATTATCGGATGGAATTTTTATGTAGGTGTCAAGCATCTCGATTGGTGCTCAGCCCTCATGGGCTTATTAGACAATAATATACAATACAATTGCCAAGTGGCAAATTACAAAACAATGCATGACATTAGAGCTAAAAAAAAAAAAAAAAAGACACACACAGAGAACAGCTCATCGTATAGAATACAAAATACTTTGCCGCAAATTCTGCCAGCTTATCCTTTTCAAACAGCCAGTGCAGAATCTCTGCTTCATCATTTCAAAATAAATCAGTGTTTTATTAACTGAATAAAGGTGAATAACGAAAAACATATAATTCCTCTTCCACAACCTTGACATCACAAAATTAAGTTGAGGTGTGCCTTTAAATCCACCCACGTCAACACCCAGAGGCAAGGTAAGATAATAAAGCACAGAGATATCTCTGCCATCTGTTCGAAAAAAAAAAAAAAAAATATGGTTGTGTAGCAATCATTTTTAAACTGAACATAATTTCTAAGCTTTGTGCTGGTAAAGATTCTGAGTCATCCAGGTTATAGCCATTCCAAAAAAGTAAAAAAAGAATTCACTGGACTTTGTTTCCCAATTTGAAGGCGTTTTGCTTCCCATGCAGTCCACTCTACAAAACCTTAAACTGAAAGCTTTTTTTAACATTTTGAATTTAAAAAGCTTCCTGGATGGGAGCCGAAACGTGTTCAAATTTGGAAACAAAGTCCAGTGGATGGTTGTTTTTTTTTTTTACTTTTTAGAATGTCTAAGCTTTGGTTTCTTTCATACTGTATATTCTGTTTCCATTAATCAATTTATCTCATGAGTAATCTATTGTCTGACAGAACTTATATGACTTGCAAGCATTATATGCACAGGGCTTAAGATTTTCTCTATCCCCGTTAATTATATATATAAGTATATAAACTATAAGTGTATAGTCAAAAGCAAAGTGTAAAATATTTTTGTTTTTATTACAGAATATTAATGTCCAAATTATTTCTTAGAGGAACACATCTACAATCAAAAGGGAATCCTTACATGATATGTTCTACAACCAATGGGGTTTGAACCCCAAACGTCTTTTACAGACACTAATAAAATTAAAAGTATTACCTTGATCCGATGGCTTATTGAATAAGTAGATATATTTTGATTGTGCACCATAGTTCACCTTGAATCAGCATGTAAGGATAACAAGCCCAATTATTTATTTTTTCTATTGAAAAATGACTGAGTCATCGCTCTTTTCATCTTATCAAGATGACTCCTTGTTTCCGGTGTTTTATAAGAGCTTCCAGTGAAGCATACTGGTCCTCTGACCATCTGAGTATTACCTAATTGTTTGGAAAGCATCAATATGCTGGCCTTCCGGAGATAATCTCTAATCCCATTGTTTGTTTTGTTTTTTGCTCTGCTCAACCGGAGCTTCTGTCTTAGTCCCACAAACAAGGACAATCCCCATACTTGAGTTAGTTTTACTAAATGACTAATCATAAAAACACTTTGTTCATTTACTTGACTCAGCTAATTGAAATTTTTGTTAGAGAAAAATGTGAAAAAATGCAGAATAGTAAAAACCCATTGCCCAACTGAAGAAAAGCAAACCGCACCATGGTTGTAGTGCCGGCTTTCTCTACAGGCAAAGCCACATTTTTTCTTGCCTTTCGGAGTTATTCGTGTTCCAGCATTACTTTCAGTCTAACCACATGCCTAATGTTCAACGGACCACAACTTAGTCTCTCACAAGGGGAAGTCAGGAGGGGTTGGATCTTTATTCAAAATGAAACGATCCTTCTCGAAATTCTATTTCTATTAGCTCTACTCTTATATATTGAATTAGACTTTTTTTGTTTTGCTTGTTTTTTAATGATACAACTACATACAGCTAATAAAAAAGCACTGCACTGATTTACATACATACACAAACACACACAAACAAACTTGTCTCACTATCTATGCAGGGCCTTTCCATTGACTTCCATTCATTTCTACAGCCTAACAGTGACCTTTACTCTAACCATTATGGGCTTATACCTAACCCTAACCCAAACTTAAACTCACTTCACACCTTAGTGTTAAACGGGACCCCTGACCCAAAAACACAATTCCACACTTGGGTCCCAGACGTTGGGCATCACAATTGCTGTTAATTCCAGCAGAGTTTTGTCCTTATTTTTCTTTTTTATATATATTTCAAGGTATACTTGTCAGGGTTGTAATCTCATTTTTTTACTATTATCCTTTTGGAACCTTGGACTATTACAATTAGGGATGATTCTAGAATCAGGGGTGTGACAGAAAAGGGGAGAGGAAACACGTTTTAATGCAGATGACATTTTGGACCCTGCTGACTCTATAACAACATTGTTAGTCATTGGTATTTTCTCTAAAGTTAAATAGCATTATTCAGAGGCAACAGCAGAATATCAAATCTACTCCTCTGGGTCCCTGAGCAAGACCCTTAACCCCAGGCTGCTCCCCGGGTGCTGCACAGTGTGCTTGATGTTATCACATTGTTCTTAGATGTAAAAGGCTTATCTTGATGCCTCCAAACAATCTTTTTCCTTACCTTTTCCCATCACTTATCTTGCGTGGTTTACATGGTTAGCAAAGAAGCTTCATTTAAACTATTGGACTAGATGCTTCTATGGAATTGGCTCCCTATTAGCCCTAACCAAAGTTAAATATGCTTAAATGCTTTAGGTTTTTGGAAGGTATAAATCTAAAATGTTTCCTTTTTAAATCTCTTGTTGTTGTGAACTGTTTCTCCGATCAGGGCGGTTAGGATAATCGTTCTATTTAGAGGCAAACTACCAACTGCAGTAAATAATAATCATTCCAGGAAAAATATAATATACTTTGGTCTTGTCACATTAAATTCTGAAACTGTCAGCTTAAGTTAAAATTTAAGGTTTTAACCAGCAAACAAAAACATTTTGGTTTAAAACAGAAACTTTACTTCAGCGTTTGTAAACCTTTGGTTTTTACAGGTAGAAAATTGATAAAATTTTGCTCTGCCGATCTCCACCTACATTCATAAGATAAAATTATTTTTGATTTTTCATGGTTAAAAAATTTTTCAAACTTTTATTTACTCCACCACAAATCCATTAAAAGACATTTTCAAAAAAAAAAAAAAATGCTTTTAGATTAGATTCCTGTGTTCGTCAGTCTAAAGGATGATGGCACCAATTAAACCCATGAGATGACGAGCTGAGAAACCTGTCATGCATCATATCTTTCAGCGGAACTCCTAGTTAAAATTCAAGTTAAAGTAAAAATTAGGGCTGCAACAACGAATCGATAAAATCGATAAAAATCGACGTTTAAAAGCGTTGGCAACGAATTTAATCATCGATTAGTTGTGTCGCGCGATTAATGCGTCATCCGCCGCCGCCGTCATCCCGGGGAAGAAAAAAAAATATGGCGGAGCGAGTCAGCGCCGCAGTTGCAGTGTTGCCAACTCAGCGACTTTTCAGACCCCTCCAGCGACTATTTTTTTTTAAAAGCGACTAGCGACAAATCTGGCGACTTTTTACGGTGTCACTGGCGGCTTTTGGAGACTCTTACGTGAAAGCATGTATCGTTCCTACTCTTGTCCTCCAGCGGCAGCTGCTGCCGTGGGGCGCCTCCCCCATCCCAACGCCTTTCTCCCTCTCCCACAGGAATCCCTCTCAGCGTGCAGTCCGAGCCGCAGGATTTTAGTGAGGAGTTTACCCTCAGCGTCCAGACTGCAAATGAAGCGCGCATGCCCCGGGATTGACGGCGCAAATTGATCACAATAATTAAAATAGCCTGCGCTTTGTAAAGTGAAAAAAGTCGTAACATGCAACTTTTGTAAAAAACAAATGAGCATGGCACGGAAGCACCTCTGTTATGACGCAGCACCTGAAAAGAAAACACGTTGGAGCCTTCAATGGCAGTGAAGAGAGCTGATCAGCAGGATGAGTAACCATGTTTGTTTCATTTTAAAGTGGGGAAACGTAAGTTAGTTTCTCAGGTAGCTCATCTGATGCTTTCCTTAGCTTGTTCGTAGGTTACAGACAGTGATAAGGTTGGCTTCTTATTTTACTTTTAATTTCATTTGAATTAGCTTAAGCAGCGTTTATATTTTCTTTATAAATAAATTAATTTGCAAATTATGAGGGCAAGGCTTTTAAAGTTTAAATCTTCTGGCAAAGAAAGTAAAGAAGATCCTGCAATTTATGGAAGTAAAGCAGAATAAAATCCAGCAAGATCAGTAATATGTCAATTAATTATCTGCCACATTCCCATGTAAATATCTGTCTTTGGAGGATGTGTTTTTTTAACACCCCTAGTTCTCTCATTTTTATTCCAAATACAATTTATAATTTGAATCACAGGGCTATTTTTATCTCTATGGTTAAGTATTTTCTTAAGTAGCAACTTTAACTGCTATACTTTCCTGTCTTAAAAGGCAGAACTCTTCTAGTCTAAAAAAAACTCATTTGTTGAAATGGGGGGGCCTATTGTTTGAACCCCTT